ACCTGGCTAAATTTTCAATGACACACAAAACTTTTACTGCTTCTTTGCACACCTACTAATAATACTAAAGATATAATTATTATTTATATTAAGTGATTCCTATGTTCAACATCCTACACCATGCATTTTATTCTTTTAAAATTTTAAATTTTATTGTGGTAAGAACACTTAACATGACACCTATTCTGTTGGCAAACTTTTAAGTGTGGAAAAATTATTGCCCACTATAGGTACATTGCAGTACACAGATCTCTAAAGTTAATTCATCCTGCCCAGCTCAACATTCTGCCTGGTTAGGAAACCCACATTCCAGCTCGTCCCACCCCAGCACTTGGCAACCATCATTTCATTTTTTTGATTCTATAAAGTTGACTATTTTTTTAGATACTTCATACATGGAATTGTGCAGTACTTGTCTTTAGGTGACTGACTTTTTTCATTCAGCATGATGTCCTTACTTAAACCATGCAGTTTGTATAGATTTCCTCATTTCATTCTCCTAGAAATTCTATAATTATAGTTCTGTTATCTTCTCTACTTCACACTTGAGTAAGCTGAGACTTGGAACATTTAAGTAACTGCATGAAGATGTGCAGATAGGAAGTAGGACACCTGGAATTTGAACCCAGATCCCTCTGCCTCCAGAGTTTTCTGTTCTCTGAAGACTATCCCAATATGACATTAATAATCCTTTTTGAGGTCTCTAGCATGATTCCTTTGATTACATATGGAAACACAGAGGTTGAAGGTACTACCAAGACCCTTTCCAGGCTTCATTGATAACCTTTGCTTGTACTTTTAAATTTCCCTAGGGAAAGACTTCAGCAATGGCCCCAACCAGATTAAATGCCCGTAGTTTGAAATGGAACCTATTTTCTTATTCCAGATCCAGAGAAAAGTCAAAGGAAGTGTAGCATGAGTAGTGACTGTCCTATGCCTAATACCTTTAGTGGGCTTGAGAATCCCCAAGTCTTTATTGCGATTAATAAACTTCAATGCTATCTTTTAACCTTTGATCTTTTAACATTTTTCTTTTTTTCTAACTTCACCCTTTATAGTGTCTAAAATTGAATAAGTTATTCAATTTTGTTTCCCAGCATTGTGTTTGTAACACTCTTTAAGCCCTATTGAAGTGCCTGGGCAATTCTAGCATGCTTGCATAATAGGGAGTGGCCAGTACTGTCACTGGCTCCATGTGACCAGGCGAGGCATCACTTAGCTGAATCAAGGCAGGGTTTCCTAACATTCTGCATGCCAAGGTTCCTCTGAATGTATCTCTTGTCAGCCTCTGGTGGTGGTAGTGTTATGTTAAGAGTGGGAAACCCTTTGGGCCTCAGCCCCACTTCAGCCAGAACAGCTGTACACTTAGCGGTTAATAGGTGAGAAAATATGGCATGAAACTTTGCTTGAGATAATGATTACCAGTACTAAAGATAAAAAATACTTGACAATCCCACTGAGCATAGGGAAAAACCTAGAAACTTCAAGGAGTTTGAGTCTCCAATGTCACTATTACCCTCTTCTCTGGTAGGCAAACCATTTAGTTTCTGCCTGGTGAGTGGGGGCTTAGCCCTACTGTGTGGGGTGGTTGTGATGAGGACCAAGAATCTACATAAAATGCCTAGGACAGCATGTGGGTTAGAGAAGCTATATCATAGAAAGATGCCATTTCTACTTCAGCTATTATTGGAAAAAAATCAACATACTCTTGAGAATGTGTCAGATTGTCATTTTGAAATAAAAAAACCTGAGAATATTCACTTACTGACCCTGGGCTTTTGTCTTTTGGGTAGACTTCATTTTACTCAAGCCTGGAGTCACAATTAGATGCATTTCATGCGTGTAAAGAAGTGTCTGAGAGGGAGGAGCATTGTTAATCCTATGATTCCATTTCACAGGGATAATCGAGGTCACTGGCTATTTCTATTTTTGATTATGTTCTGTAAGAAACAGCTGATTTTAGAGTATAGCTTCAAACCTTTCAGGTATCAAGAAACATTCCACTTGGATCTGTCCTATCCACTTTATCTCTCAGCACCTAGCTGAGGGCCTGACATGTAACAGTAGAGTGCAGCACATTGGATGTGGAGTCTGGCCTAGAGTGGGAGCGGTGAGAAGCAGAGACTATGATGTGTGGCTGCAAATGAGCAAGATTATTGTCTTAGAAAGCAAAAACCTTATTTGGTAAAATGAATGCATTCTATGGAAATAGGTAGTAAAATACGTAGCTCTGGAGTTGTAAATCAAAGTTGCTTGTAAGAACCTAGGAAGATGCACATGGCTCTTTGGCTAACTCAGGCTTTCGTGATTAAAAATGTCAGTGCTACCCATGACTTTGGGACAGTGCAGGAGAGCACTGAGTTAAGGACCATAAGGAACACAGACCAGCAGAAAGACGATGGGTGGGGCTGGGGTGGAGTTCAAAAAATAAAAGACCAAAGGCAGTGTAAGACAAAGTCAGCCCTGGTCACTGGTTCCCTGTGTACTACTTTTACTCTTAAGTGAAAGGCTGGTAATTAAAACTTACTTCAAGGAATAAGGCAGGAGGACTAAGTCAGCTCAGGCGCATAAAGTAATCTTTTAAAACTATCCATCAAATCAGGCCCTGCCCTCCTGGCAATAAACTCTGCTCCTTTTGCCGTGCTGCAAGGTCTTGCCCATCTTCCCGTGTCATATTAATCCACATTCCCTCCAATACTCAGCTCAGGCCACAATGACCTCCTCTACTCACAGTGATGGTTTTGTGGTCTCAAGACTCTGCATTTGCTGTAGCACTGCCTGGCCACCTTTCCGCCCAGGCTTTCTGATTCTGGAAGTCCTGTCCTCTTTGAACTCCCCGTTCCAAGGTCACCTTTCCCAAACTTCTCTCAAACCAGTCTAGCAGAGCCTTAGCGTTGTGATGTTACAGTCTCAAAACCTTTAACGTTTAATAGTTCGTGTTTTCACAATTGTTCTCCCCTGACTAAAGAGAAAGTTCTTAGTGTGTAGGGATGGGTTTGCCCATTCTCCATTACATCCTCTGAGCCTGGCACAGGCCACATGCCCAGGAAAACTTGGCAGGTGGAAACATGAATGGGTGAACAGTAACAAAAACAGAAAATAATGGAGGTTGGCTGGCACATGGTGGTTCCCTGGAATTGTAATTATTATATTATAGAGCATTTTCTGTTGCTGCTTTAGGTCTTTTGGAATAGGAAACTAATTTATAATATACTAAAAAATACAATGTTGAAAAGTGTATGTTTGTATACAAATGGCTATTATATACCTAGTCCTAATTAAAATGGATTTTTATGTATCATACCATTTGCTACAGAAAAAGGTAGGCAGGTAAACTTTTTGTAGGTGCATAGAAGTTTGTACAGTTCACATACAACATCAGAGGGTCATTTTTCTAACCTGGGGAGAGTGATTGTAACTTTCCTTCAATTCGTATATACATAATAGAGAGTTGTACATAAATAGAGATTCAGGGGCTCCAGAAAAATTCCCATTGCCAAAGAGAAGAAAAATGTCAGAGTAAGCTGTAAAAAAAGTGCTTGGTTTTTTAAATGTAGAAATGGCAATTCACAGCATTTATACAAATTGCCGTATACAGTGGGTTTCAACTCTGGAAATGAATAGTGAGAAAAGTTGCAGCTAAGAGCAAATCTGAGGACACTTGTTTCAGAAGTAAAGGCTTAGTCAGTATTACGGCATTCTGGCAAACTGCATGTCATTAACTAGAGTGCTTTGTATCGGGATTGAGACTTTCCATATTGATTTTCTCGTATGTAAAAAATGCTCTGATATTCAAAAAGAAACTTATCTTGGATGAGAAATTCATTTTCTTAAAGTCTCCCTTATATTTTTGGCATATTAATCTGTTACAATATCAACATGACTAATGTCTAGATGGATCTTATATTTTGGTGGTTTATTTTTTATTATAATTTTATGAACATTCTTTGAATTGTATATGTGTAGAGTAACATGTGAGATGGTATCAGCAGAAAATATAAATAGCTTCAAAAGTGGTTAGATAAATTAGAAAGTATGCAATCCAGAATGAGATGATGCAAGAGGGTTACAAAGTTTAAGTCAAAATAGTAAATTTTCCCACAAAGTCATGCCTCAGAAGTGGAAAATAAGGTTGGATTAGACCAATAGCATACTGAATTCTTTTATGCACTTGTATTTTGCCTTCTTTTTCCTTCTCTGCATCAATGTATTCAGCATATATTTTCTTCAACAAAAAACTAATTTACATAATTTTTAAAAAGCTGCTAGAATGGGAATGGGTATTTGTGGATGAAAAAATAAAAGTATTTCTCATGGGCAAATGGGATAAAATCCAGAGTCTGGGATCACAATGAACACAGGAACAGCCAAGTCTGGACTTGAGATGGCACAGTGTCAAAACCTTCTAGACTCAGCCCTCCCGCTCTGTGGTCATCTCCATGAAATCCTATGAAAGGAAATGCATCTTTAAAAACACAAGACCAAAGACAGTCAACTTATCAGTATTTATAATTGCAGAGACTAATGTGTAAGGTATTCTGAGGTGCAAAATACCTTTAAATGATGTTTTAATTTTCAAACAAAATTATGTGATTTTTTTCTGGCCAGTTCACTTACTGATGATGATGTAATGAGGCTGCAACTTAAAACAGGAGACATCTCCTCCATAAAGGCTGGAGGGGTGAAGGGGAAGCAATGTAGAAGCTGGGTATGGGTAAGTAGAAAGGAAGTTGGCTCTGAATTAAGAATATGCTGTGTTACATTACAAAAGCAATAATCTACAGGTAGATAGCCTTTTACAAAAGGCCAAGAGGATCCTGCTCTGGTCTTCTAGTGATGAACAAATATTTCTATAACATATACCTTTGTTTAGGAGGAACTTTTTTCCAATAAAGAAGACTGCAGAGATGCTAAAGTGATATTTTATGCTTCTAAATGACTATCAAAGTCTACACAGAGATGGCCACGATCCATCACAACACCACACAATGGCACGTTACCTTGGATACAAGGCTGGCTCTGTATGCTGCTAGTTGCTTCAGGTACTCCTTCTTTGCAGCCTCGGTTTTCTTTTTATAGACCTGTGACAACAAAGCGTCTGAAATTAGAAAGTAAATCTGCTTTTGTTTTCAGAGGAGGATAATATAGAATGATAGTTACACACACACACACACACACACACACACACACACACATACACACATATAATTATATAATAATATATGTCTCACTAAAGATTGTGTTTTTCTCCTGAAACAGATTTGAAAGAAGAATGGCAATAGACTTGATAAGAAGAAGATTAACAATGGTAAAATTTTCCATTTTACATAATGTACATGAAAGGATTCGTTTGGTTACTTTGAGAGTTGAAGTAACTGGCTTAGGAGGACACCGTTGATTAAGGTTCCTTGGGAAATCACATGAGTAAATGAAGAACTCATATTTAGACAATGGGCAGATCATTCTCAGTACAGTCATTCCCAATATACAGATTACATACTGAACGCAAAAACAAAGTCAGGAATTAAAGATGGCATACCATGTTCAATAAGAAAATCAAAAGACCTAAAGGAGTTTTCAGAGGAATCACAATTTTAAGATTTTGAGCCTTAAAGTTCTACTATCAAAGGCTTATTTGTTAGGGGTGGCAGTCAAAGAGATCTTTGAGACTGGAATGGTGATCCTGAGCAGCTGAGGGCTGCCTGGGTGCCATGCTACCTGGTGTGTCCTGGTCCTTTGCAATAAAAAACTGATGACAGGGATTTATGAACACTTCATTTTGAAAAGGTAAAATGTTTGAAAATGAACCTCTGTTTATAGAAGCTTTTCATTTTTAAGAGGGAATCATCTTGAAAGTAAAGGTAAAATCACCTGAAATGGAGCAAAAGAACTGAAAAATGACTTGCTTATATGCTAAAGGTCAAATTGCTAAGTTAAACAGAGAGGAGCCGTTAGACTCAAAAGTGAAAGATGAGCACAGTGAACAGACATGGCCATCTGCTGTCATTAAGCTAATCCTTTCAAGGATTTAGACTATATGTTTGGCAATCTTTTGAAATGAACCCAAAAGAACAGAGTATTTTCATCATTTACTGTGGAAATGGAAATGTATTCTCCTTGATACAACTATTTTAAATTTCAACATCTTGAATTTTATAGTGGGGCACAAACTCTTGGTTAATATTTTGTAATGCTGAGCTCAAAACCAGACAAAAGTCAGTATGGAAAAGAGGCTTTCGAATCAGTTCGAGTAGCTCAAATTTTGTTTAAAGACCAAGTGTCTGCCGGCTGGTGGCAGAGGACAATCTCTGGTTCCCAGTGATTGCTGAGCCCAGACCCAACTGTGAATTTCAAGATGTAAGAAATATTACTTACTCGTGAACATTTTAATTAAACCAGGACACTTACTTAATGTAAATGAATGACTGATTTTGTCAATAGAATTAATAGGATCCTGTGAGGTGGATGTGTTGATTATTTTCCTTTAGGGAGACCTTCAACCTGGACTTTAATATTTGGCATTTTGGTATACTAACAGCCAATTTAAATAAGAATCAAGAATATTATCATTAATCTTTTTGCTATCACTACTAAATAGAAAATTAAAAATACTTCAAAAGTCCTATTTGGGAGTTTTGTTCTTGTTATTTTTAGTAAAAAGCCAATAAAGCTTTTAGTTCAAGTACAACAGTAAATTTATAGTACAACAGTACCTAAATTTATAGGATTGTACTAAATTATTGATTATTGGAAATCAATCTTCAGATTCTTTTTTTTGGAAATTAACATATGAAAACAAATAAACGCTTGCGTAAGAAATTGTTAATATGATCCATGTCTATTACATGCCTTATTTCAGCCACATTCAGAAACACAGAGCTCTTCTGGATTTTACTGATAGAATTTTTTTGAGAAACAGATTTGTGTTTATAGTTTTTCCTTAAACCTCTTCGGTAAGACATAATGTATAATTAGTGACCTTAAGATGACAATGTTTACATTTACTTTTAATATCATGAAACTGTTTTGAGATGGGGTTTTCTCCCACATAGATATTCTATTGAGGATTTTGAAGCAAATATTTAGTAAATATATCTTTGATGTTAATACACATTTGTGTACCCTGAAGAATTGTATCATGTTTTTATTAATATACTATTCCAAGTGAACCCATTGGTTAACTAGGGTTCAGTTAGCATCCGAAGACAAACAGAATACACTTTGGTCACAGCAGTGCTCAAAGTGTCATTTTCTAAGTAATAGCAGATAAGACGGCATTGTCAGAGGGCCTGCTTCTAGCATCCCTCATCTTTTTCTAGTTTGGTTTCTATTGAAACAGCAACGGTGTTACTACAACGCTATCTCTTTGTCAGGTCTTGGCAGTTAACATTGCACGAAGTGTAACTCTGCCAAAATTTTTTGATTAAGAACCATAGGAAAAAGGTGGCTAACTCCATGCATTTCAGGATGAACATGAGCCCTTGGTGTTATTCGAGGATCGATGTTGTTAAGGGATACCTGACTAGCATTCAGAGTTCCCTGTTTTCTGCAAATGGCTCCCTATTGGCTATTGACGATTGGTTATGTTGGGATCATTGTATAAATGCCTAAATACCACTTTAGAGTAAGAGTAAACTCATCATGTCACATTAGATGCATTGATGGATCCACTGTTTCCTGAATAGCTGCAGATGTTCAGGGGGCGAATTGAAAGGGGGGTAATTTCAGGAGGTATATTTCTATAATTGTGTTTAAGGGGGAGTAGCCCAAATCAGAATTAAAATCTGTGGTGGTCTCCCCAACAATATGCAGAACCTCCAGCTTTGAGAACTACCTAATGACTCCAATATGACACACTGTGTGTCTCGCTGACGCTGCCCCTAAAATTGAACCAGGATGCTGTCTGCATCCTTTATTTAATGGAGATATCACAACCTCAAATATGAGAGAATGATACTCATATGTAAGAATTCTATATGCAAAGGAGATGGGAGAAACTTTCACTTTAAAGCAGATATTTTAAGATTATTAGTAAAAGTTTTTCAAAGATGTTTCAAAGCTTCTAGTTAGGTAGGGAGAAAGTCCTCTTCTTGCAGAAACCAAAAAAGAGGTTGCTGGGCTGAATTTGGCAATGAATGGCCACTGTGATGATCAAGTGCACACACCTAACCTATGAGTATGGGTCTGATTTATGTCAAAGTCAAGTTTAGGAAAGAAACAGTCTCTCTCTCTCTCAGGGAAACACAAATATTTTAAAGGTATGTGATTCATACAGTAAATATTAGTATTCAGTTGAGCTACAAAATGGCTTCCAAATGGTTCACAGCTGTTTGAAATAAAGTGCAAAGTTGGCCAGATGAGGATTTAAAAATCATAATATATCATTTATCATTTTCCCCTGCTCTTCCAAACACTTGTGAATTCATCCTGTCCTAACTTAGTTATATGCTATGGTTTGTTATTCCAAGAAAGCCACCATATCCTATCTAAGGATTGCATCTCAGTGGTTAAACTAAAACATATATGATGCTAAGCTAAAACATACGAAGACAAGACATCAAATAGCAGTTCTAGAGAACCTGAATTCTATTCATGTGAGCTAGTGATTTACTGAGTCCTTTTTAAAATGCTTTAAATACCAGCATGTGCATGTGTTTTTATAAGCTAATAATCCCTAATTAAAATCAGCAGTTCAGTGTCACTGACTGTGACAAACTTAAGCAGAAAAAATTCTTGTACAATCTTGTCATTGTATTTTTTCTTTCTTCCCCTTTCCCAAACCATCCATCCAACTAATACAGAAATACCACTTAATTCCTTCTTCCTTCCTTCTTTTCTGCACTGGCCATTGGTCTCTAGTCATATTTCAACAAAAATTGTTACAATGATAATAAGAAAAAGAGTGCAAAATTCTTCCAATTCTAAATTCTATTTAAATATTATTAAAAAGCTAAAAGGTCTCTTTCTTTTGATTAAATTCAAAAGTATTTTCACTACCATTTCCAACTTATAGAAAATGCTTTGCAAAATAGTTATGTATAAAGAGAAATAATTTAATCCCAATTTCTTGCTATATCCTTTACAAATTTAAAATTTGCAGTTTCTTTCAGGGTTATTATTATTTGGGTCAGTTAGAGCAAGTGCATCTGTATTTCATATTGTTGGGTCTGGAGACCTAAGGCAGATCAGTGTCCCTGACCTCCAACACTTTGACATCAGCACATAACAATATAGTTATTAAATGTAGTTGAAGTTTCACCCTATGTAAAGTTACATACAGGATTTTCTTAAACATAACAAACATAAAGAATTTTATAAAGTGGTACTCAGGATTGAAAACATCACATGATATGACAAAAGTCTTGCTGTTGATTCCTTTGGAGGACTGTCTGTTTCAACTAAGGATCTCAACAATATTGATGTGAAGTATTTCTGGGTTGGTAGGAACCAGAAGCAAGGCTCCTTACCTTAAAAATGGCTACAAAATATATCTGCTGATTTATTAAGTGAAGATGACTAGGGAAGTACAGCACAGTTCAATTACTCTTAACCAACAGATGCTATGTATCTATGTGGTACAAAGTACCTGAAGGTATGGTATCAAAAAAGGCATTAAAATTATGTCTTGATTGTGTGCACTTTTTGTCTGTCCAGCTATCTGTCTATTTATCTGTCTATCATCTATCTATCTTATTTTTAATTCTCCCAACAAGAATAATGCATGACATTACTATTCCCATTTTACAGATAAGAAAACAGACTAGAATGGGTGACTGGCTTACCTATAAACCTGAGCAAACGTGAATGAGCACTACCTTAAAGTTCTCTACATTCCAATGTCATGGTAACTTGCAAATGAATCTGCTCCCTTTTGTATAAGATATGAGTATTTATATACATGTACTACATATGTTTATGCCCATGCTGGCATGCAATCTCACTGATGTGCCAATACATACATGTATGTGTAAATCACATAATACCTGAATTTCAGAAATAAAATATGCTCACCTTTTCATGTAATAATTTTAGTTGCTTAATTTTAAATTTACATAAACTTTGCTTGTATACCATGATAAAC